GTGTCTCTCCCGCCGAATCTTTAATGGGCCGGAAATTCCAACGAAGTTCCATGCGCTGCTGCCTACTAATCTGTCGTCCGCACAACCACTTGCACCTGTCTCTCGTGGCAAGCTCTCCGTCGGAACCCCGGTCTTTGTTTGTGACTACCGAGCAGGGTTTCCAGACTGGATTGAGGGCTTGATAACAGCGCACACAGGCAGCATGCTGTTCGAAGTCTCTGTCGGTGATGACACCACAATCAGATCCGACGGCGGCAGTGCAGAACCCAATCAGACCTAAATCAGGCGTTTCACTGCCTCTCTACACCCTGCTGGAGACCTTAGCGATTCCAGCGGACCAGTCAGCTCCCGCACTGAATCCTGCAGCCTCTTTGGAAGTACCGCTTTCGGAACAAGTTCCTGGCCCCGCACTGGTAGACCTGAAACCGCCCACAACATTCCGGACTAACAATGCTCGCCAAATTCCGCAGCGCATACAGGTCGATCCACGGCAAAAGCGGTACTGACAGATTTGAAGGGGTATTGTTGGGACGCCGCGTGTCCTATGATGAGTCAACGCACTCAACAACGTCGCGAGAGCCGCTTGTCTGCTCTTGTTTGCTCAATCCCGATTGGCTCATTGTCGGACGATGTTTCTCCCCTTCCCTTTAAAGTACATGCACCTTGCGTCTGACTTGAATTGTGCTGGCTTATACTGAGGCGCTGTACCGTGCTCTTATCTGAATAGACTCTCTCTCTTGCAGACTGTGCTTCTCACTGTCTCCCTAACGGTCTCTTGGAGAACCGGTTCGTGCTGATTAGAAGTACCAAGGCGGTTCATAACTGGCTGGAATTGCCATTTTTTGCTTATTAGCCGTGGTCTGTCTTTCCTATGCCCGTAGAAGTGCCGCATTAGCAATAGTTGACAAACGCGACATTTTCGATTACAGTATAATCTCTTCACCTATTGATCACGAGCTCGTTGCCTTGCGGGATTATTTTTTGGAGATATTGCAATTCGTTTACGAAGGCTCGAAAAGCACTATGGAAGAGCATTTGTCACGCTCTGCCATCATGTGGATCTGACTTAACACTGAAAAGATTACAATCATGAAATAAGGTACCTTACAAGACAATGTAAGCTGCCTCGCAGCACGCCAAACGGAAAGCGAGATCATCAAATATTTTGCTTGCTTGCCCCATCCTCGGCAACTACCTCAATTCTGACTTAGGTGGATACAAGGTACCGCTCCTGTTAGCCTTTTGTTTTACAAAAATATGCGTATTGTAAATTCAAATATTCGCTAGAAAATAGTATCGGGGGGGCCGACCGTACTTCAGTGTAGTGTGTTAATGTGCAGGAAGTTAAATGCAAATGCTAATTATAGAGTAATTGCTTAGATATTGACGAGTGTTATCGGAAAGCACAAAGAACATATGTTTATTATTTAAGCAATTCAGGTACAAAAAATTAAATA